TGGTGGAACTTCTTGGTTGGTGTCTTCAAGCTGGGCCTGGTGGTAGAGCTTCTTGGTGTTCCAAAGCTGGGTCTGGTGGTGGAACATTTGGGTTGGAATCTTGAAGCTGGAGATGGGGATGGAGTGTTTTGGTTGGCATTTCCAAGCTGGGGCTGCTGGTGGTGATTCATGGTTGGTATTTCCAAGCTGGGGATGGGGATGGAGTGTTTTGGTTGGCATTTCCAAGCTGGGGCTGGTGGTGGTGATTCATGGTTGGTATTTCCAAGCTGGGGATGGGGATGGAGTGTTTTGGTTGGCATTTCCAAGTTGGGACAGATGGTGGAGCGTTTTGGTTGGTATCTCCAAGCTGGGGCTGGTGGTGGAGATTCATGATTGGTATCTCCAAGCTGGGGCTGACGGTGGAGATTCATGATTGGTATTTCCAAGCTTAGGATGGGGATGGAGTGTTTTGGTTGGCATTTCCAAGTTGGGACAGATGGTGGAGCGTTTTGGTTGGTATCTTCAAGCTGGGGCTGGTGGTGGAGATTCTTGGTTGATATCTCTCCAAGCTGGGGCTGCTGGTGAAGTTTCTTGGTTGGTTTCTCCAAGCTGGGGATGGAGTGTTTTGGTTGGCATTTCCAAGTTGGGACAGATGATGGAGCGTTTTGGTTGGTATCTCCAAGCTGGGACAGGTGGTGGAGCATTTTGGTTGGCGACTCCAAGCAGGGACACATGGTGGAGCTTCCTGGTGTTTCAAAGCTGGGTCTAGTGGTGGAGCCTCAGGATTGGCATCTCCAAGCTGGGGTAGGAGGTGGAGCTTCACAGTTGGCATCTCCAAGCTGGAGATGGGGATGGAGTGTTTTGGTTGGCATCTCCAAGTTGGGGATGGCAACGGAGCTTCTCAGTTGACATCTCTGTCTTGGGACGCATGGCCACTGATGGGTGGCACGACCAGGTGGGCGATTCTGGGGGGGAAAGAGCCCCGTTGAACAATTTTATTTCCTTCCTCCCCACAGCTGATAGTCGAAAAGACGACTGACTACCCTTCTGCTGAGTACTCCCTGGTGGAGGATGTAGCCCTCCACTTCACGTGTTTGATGGACAGACTGAACGAGCAGCGCCTCTTTCAGCCGGACCTGTGCGACGTGGACATCGTGCTGGTGCAGCACAAGAGCATCTTCCCGGCGCACAAGGGGGTCCTGGCCGCCTACAGCCAGTTCTTCCACTCCCTCTTCACCCAGAACAAGCAGCTGCAGCGCGTGGAGCTCTCCCTGGAGGCCCTCACCTCGCAGGGCCTCCAGCAGATCCTCAACTTCATCTACACCTCCAAGCTGCTCGTCAACTCCTGCAATGTGCAGGACGTGCTGAACGCGGCCGCCGTGCTGCAGATGAACAACATCGCGTCGTCCTGCCAGGACCTGCTGGACACGCGCTCACTCAGCCTGGCCACTGACATGGCCCTGCCCGCCGAGGGCTGCGCGGGGCCCCCGCCCTACTACTGCGAGATCAAGCAGGAGGTGGACGCCCCCCACCCCAAAATCTACGCCCGGGAGGGCAACGACCCCTTCTCGGTGCGGGTGGAGGACGGGACGGGCGGCGGGGCCCTCCCTGCCGGCCCCGCCAAGCAGTACTACAAGGAGGAGAAGGATGGCGGTGCCGGCGCAGTGTGTAAGATGGAGGGGGAGGAGTCCGAGGAGGACCTGGACAGCCAGGGCTCGTACAACCGGGAGCAGATCATCGTGGAGGTGAACCTCAACAACCAGACCCTCAATGTCTCCAAGGGCACGGAGGGCAAGGCGGCCGCCAGCGAGGCGGCCGTGATGGGGCGGCCGGATGGCGACGGGCGCGACACAGAGGAGGACGGGGAGGAGGAGAATGAGGAAGGGGAGGAGGAGGAGGAAGAGGAGGAGGATGCGGAGGTGGGTGATGAGGAGGAGGAGGAGCGCAGCGAGGAGGAAGACCTGGAGGAGACGACGGAAGAAGAGGATGATGACGATGACGATGAAGACGCGTCGGAGATGAAAAGGGAAAAGGGTGGGCAGCCCCGCCGGGGCAGCCGGGCCTCCAAGGCCACCAAACCCACCATGGCAACCAGGTCCCAGGAGATGGCCAAGGTGGAAGAGGAGGAGGAGGAGGAAGAAGAAGGCCAGCGAGGGAGGAAGAGGAAAAAGGAACAGGACGGTTTGGGGCAGAAGGTGAAGCTGGAGGAGAAGCAGCATTACCCGTGCAAGAAGTGCCCCCGGATCTTCAACAACCGCTGGTACCTGGAGAAGCACATGAACGTCACCCACAGCCGGATGCAGATCTGCGACAAGTGTGGGAAGCGCTTCCTGCTGGAGAGTGAGCTGCTCCTGCACCACCAGACCGACTGCGAGAAGAACATCCAGGTGAGCCAGCCCCATCCCCAGGGCAGGGACATGAACATCCCACCAAGGGGGAAATATCCCACCAAAGGGTGGAGCATCCCATTAGGGATGGATATCCCACCAAGGGGGAAATATCCCACCAAAGACTGGAGCATCCCAGTAGGGTTGTACATCCCACCAAGCAGGAAATACCTTACCAAGGGTGGAGCATCCCACTGTGGATGGACATGCCACCAAGGTGGGACCGTCTCACCAAAGGAGGAGCATCCCACCATGATGGGACATCCTGATGGGGGAGGGACATCCCAAACACCATGGAGGTCATCCCACCCAGCTACATTATGGGACGGGCTCATGCTCAGGTAATCCTGATGGGAAGGAACCTTCCTTCTCCCATGACTCGTGTTCAGGCTCAGGAGGGTCCCACAGTGCCATGGGATTTGTGCAGGGAGATTATTCCTTCCTCCTTGGCTGGTTGGGTGGAAGCATGGAGTTAATTTTAGAAGAGTTATTTTTCTTTTGAGTTGATTCAGTTAATCTGGATAAAACATTGTGAGACCCTGATGGAGACACGCTCCAGCCGTTCCCACCCAGGCTGAACCCTATTCAGCATAATTTGAAGATTTGCTGACAGGAGTCAAAATGGTTTTAATCTGCCTTTTGTGCTTTTTTTTGGTGGGTATTAGCAAATTTCCGAAAGCATTTGACATCCCTGAGTGGCTCAGGCTTGGTGTGTCCTTCCCCCTGTGCTAAAGACATCCTGTGTTTCAAATTGTCTCTGTTCAAACTGTGCAGTTTTGGGGGGGATAGGGAGGCACCCCATCAGAGCAGCAAATGTGTGTTCCTGAAGGTCCCTCCATTCTTTCTCCTAATCCACAATGAGCTGTTTTCCATGATGCTGCTGCTGCTAATTAAAAATATCCCAATTTCTGGAGAGTTCATCCATCATCCTTCCAGCCAGTGACCGGATTTTAAATGATCTCCCAGCTCTCCTTGAGGAAGGGAACACAACCCAAGTGCTGCTGGAGTCCTTGGCCAATGGCATCCCAAATAAAATAGGGAATGAGGCAGATTTTGGCCGCCTTAGGGCACACAGGGAACAGGGAGGCAGGAACAGTCTCAGCTCCCAGGTGCAGCACTGCCTGCACTGACCCTTCAGTGCATATTCCTGGAAAATTCACGGCACTGAAGTTGCTTCTTTTGGAGGGTTTTTCCCAGGATGGATGAGCGCAGCTCCAATACCTGAGTGGTGGTGGCTGTTTCAGAGCCTGTCATAAAGCCTGGGAAATTAAAAAGGAGTTTTCCCGGGATGTTTCCTCAGCCTCATCTGCTTTCCAGGTGGATCACATGGGGCTGTCACCTCATCGCTTTTTTCCTCCCTCCTTTTTTATGCCTTTTCCAGGTCATTTCTGAGTAGGATGAGCCACAATTGCCCCTGCAGTGACCTCCTTCTGTGGAAAAAGGGATCATTATCTCTCACTTAATTGAGCATTTTTAATTTGACAAATAGCCAAATTCACTCCGTTTGCTCTGGTAATATTGAATAACTTTATCAATATACCATGGAATTATGTCTGCATGGAAAAGAGATTTTTTTTTTTTAACTTTATATGTTTAATAGAGAGTCTTTATTTCTTGCTGTTTAACCAGATCCATAGAGGAACCATCTCTCTTATCCCAGTCAGCTCTGCTGCTTTCTTTCCCTGTTTTGTCCCCAAATTTCATCCACAGTGCTTTAGGTTTTAGGCATCATCTCGCTCCCTGTGATCATTTCCCATCTCCCTAACGTGCATCCTGCCTCCACCACCTGAAAAGCAATTCATCCTTTGCTTTGTTGGATTGTTCCTCAAACTCTTTTTTTGGTCAGCTTCTGTGCCGTTTTCCTCTTAACCTGAAAGGATTTATATTCTCATTTTTTTCCCCCTCATTTGGATGTTACTTCCACATTTTCGAGTGACGATTTTCTGCAGTAACTGAGGACACAGAGCTCAGCCCTCCGGGGTGTTTGGTCCCAGCCTGAGGTTTTTCCTACTTCTGCTGCTTTCCCTCTACCTTTCATTTTAAAATTCCCCTGCAGCCTTTTTCATTTGAAGTGGAGAAAATGGATATTGATGTGTCTTTGATATCAGGCTCTAGTCCTGAATTGGCCCTGAAATACCTCTGAAAGCAGAGATAAAACTGGAATCCATGGAAATACATACTCAGGAACAGTAAAACTCAGAGGATTACCCATGTTGACATTTGAGCACGGCAGAATGAAGATGATGAGGGTTGGGAGTGGCTCTGTGACCCTAATTTTGCCCCTTGGGCACCTACATATAAATATATATGGAGAGATACTGTGACTTCACAGCACAAAGGTGTATTTTCAAAGGTATCACAGCAAAATTTGGTTGAAGTCCATCAATGAGCGTCTGTTCCCCTGGGTAGGAGGGGAAGGTGGAGAAATCCCTCCCTGGGCCCACTGGTACCGCTCACCTCTGCTGTTCTGAGGTGCCTCCAAGGCTTGAATTATTTTCTCAACACATCTGTGAGGAGAAGAGGTGGTTTTATCCCTGTTGACCAAGAGGAAGATGAGTCAGGGAAAGATGAAGTGGAAAGAGTTGACCCTTGGGAGAAAGAGAGACCCTTAGCTCCTGGCAGGGTCCTTGCCTGCCATCCCTGTGCTCCAGCAGTGGTTTCCTGTATGGACATAAGTGTTTCCCTGAGCACTGAACTGCCCTCACATGCTTCAAACAGGTTTCACCCCAAAGCTGGAGCTTTTCCTTAGAACTTCCAGAGAAACACTGAACTTGTTGGAGCTGAAGCAAATCCCAGCCAAAACTTCTTGGAAAAGACTCTGCACGTTGTGTTGTTCTTCTTGTGCTGATGGACTGTTTTTTGGGTCCATTTTGGTCCATTTGGACATCACAGAGTCATAGATATGTTTGGAAAACTCATTTAGTGGTGAAGTATCCATAATTTAGTGGTGAAGTATCCTGCTGAAGACTGAAGTTGTGCTGCCCTGGCTCGGGATTCCCCTTGATTCTATATTCTTTGCAGCCTTCTAATGCACAGAGGGTTGGGATTATTTTATGTGATGGCTTCATTTAGGAAATAAAATTCCCAGTTGGGAATAGGGCCTTGATGCATGAGCTGCCGCTTGCACAAGTCCTAATACAGCCACTGATGGAGATGCCACATCCTTCCCTGGGAGGACATTGTCCCTTCCTCATCCCATGGATAGAAATTTGAGGTTTGGAGGTTTTGGAGTGGCAAGGCCTGTGTCAGACTTGCTGGTCATTCTGATTTGTGATATCTCAGCTGTAGGTTTCACAGTGATGTTCCCTTTCACCAGATGAAGGTGACTGCCCAGTGAGACGAAACTGCTGGTGGTGCTTGGGCACGTTCCCCTGCTTCCCTCACCATCCCCTCTCTCCTTGCAGTGTGTGACGTGTGGGAAGGGCTTCAAGAAGCTCTGGTCTCTCCACGAGCACAACAAGATCGTCCACGGCTACGCAGAGAAGAAGTTCTCCTGCGAGATCTGCGAGAAGAAGTTCTACACCATGGCCCACGTGCGCAAACACATGGTTGGTGAGTGCGGGGGGCACCGGTGCCACGGGGAGACTTCATTAGGGGTCTCCATCCAGCAGTTGGGCAGTGAAAGCTGGTTTTTTGTTGCTCTTGAATGTTTAGGGCTGGGCTTAATCTTGTGTGAGCTTTCTCACATCAAAACCTCAAAATTTGACCTGGTATTTAATGTTGAACCCGCGTCTGCTCAGTGATGGGTTTGGGGCAATCGGGTGTGGTGTTGGAGAACCCCTTTTATTTAATTTAACCAGAAAAAAATAGACCTCAGAAGTGCTCAAAGGAGGGTTTGAAGTGTGATCATCCTTCCCTTGTAAAATAGGACCAGGCCACACCAGTGCTGGGCTTTGAAAAGCAAATTGCACATGGTGATGGTAGATCAGGTCCCTGGGCCTTGCAGGGACCAAATAGATCAAAAAAAAAGGAGGGTTTGGGCAAGAAATTAGGGAAGAACTTAAAATGTTGATGCTGTGCATCTTCCCAAGATGACTTTGGGTTTGCTGGGGTTGGGCACTGGAGTTGGGAGAGATGACTGGGATGTGGGGAGAGGGATGATGGAGGTGTGGGGAGAGGGATGGTGGAGGTGTGGGGACCTGACCCTGCCCCTCTCCCCCTCAGCACACACCAAGGACATGCCATTCACCTGTGAGACCTGCGGGAAGTCCTTCAAGCGTAGCATGTCCCTCAAGGTCCACTCGCTCCAGCACTCCGGGGAAAAGCCTTTTAAATGTGAGGTAAGGTCCTGGGTGTGGCCCCATCCCACGTCCTCTCAAATGAGGAAAAAACCGCTGATTTGGGGAAAGATCTTCCACTTCTTGAGGCTTCCCCCCTGCTTTGTACCAGTGCAGCTGCAAGGATGCTCCCACACTGTGGGATCCCTTCCTGGTTTGAGGGTTCCACCAACCATGTGATGAAACTTATCCAATGCCAGGATCTGTCCCCCCAGTACCTGGATCTTACATCCCACCCCAAGCCCATCCAGCCTGCAAACCTGTTTGGCTATGGCCCAAAAAGCCATTTATTTGGATTCTCTTTTGGGAGAAAAAAGGGGATTTCTTCACTGCTGGTGACCTGGGGGGGTGTTTCGGGTCCTGATCAGGGACTCATCCCCATCTCACCCCCTCAGAACTGCAACGAGCGCTTCCAGTACAAGTACCAGCTGCGCTCCCACATGAGCATCCACATCGGCCACAAGCAGTTCATGTGCCAGTGGTGTGGCAAGGACTTCAACATGAAGCAGTACTTTGATGAGCACATGAAAACACACACAGGTAAGAGCCCCTGACCTTGCCCCAAACTCCTGCAGTCAGGAACTCTGGGGAAAGAGCAATGGGATGGGTGTAGCATCTTTGCGTGGACAGAAGGATATCCAAGTGCCGGGTCCTGCACTTTGGCCACAACAACCCCCGGCAGCACCACGGGCTGAGGACAGAGTAGCTGGACAGGGCCAAGCAGAAAGAGACCTGAGGGTTCTAATCAACAGGAAGCTGAACATGAACCAGCAGTGTGCCCAGGTGGCCAAGAAGGCCAATGGATCCTGGCCTGCATCAGGAACAGTGTGGCAGCAGGAACAGGGAAGTGATTCTGCCCCTGGACTCAGCGCTGGTGAGGCCACCCCTGGAGTGCTGTGTCCAGCTCTGGGCCCTCAGCTCAGGAAGGACATGGAGGGGCTGGAGCAGGTCCAGGGAAGAGCAACAAGGCTGGGGAAGGGACTGGAGTACAAGTGCTGTGAGGAGAGGCTGAGGGAGCTGGGGCTGTTCAGCCTCGAGAAGAGGAGGCTCAGGGGAGACCTCCTCACTCCCTACAACTCCCTGACAGGAGGGAGGAGCTGGATGGGGGTTCGTCTCTTCTCCCAGGAACCAGCAGTAGAAAAAGAGGACATGGTCTTAAGAGGTGCCAGGGGAGGTTTAGGTTGGATATTAGGAAGAAATATTTTACAGAGAGAGTGCTCAGCCATTGGAATGGGCTGCCCAGGGAGGGGGTGGGGTCACCATCCCTGGAGGTGTTTAAGGACAGACTGGACGTAGCATCAGTGCCATGGGCTGGTTGACAGGATGGTGTTGTGTCATGGGTTGGACTGGATGATCTCAGAGGTCTTTTCCAGCCTGGTTGATTCTGTGGTGGGGGTTTTGGCCCAACCCCCAGCTTCTCATCCACATTCTCCCACCCTCAGGCGAGAAGCCCTACATCTGTGAGATCTGTGGGAAGAGCTTCACCAGCCGGCCCAACATGAAGCGGCACCGCCGGACCCACACGGGGGAGAAGCCGTATCCCTGCGACGTGTGCGGGCAGCGCTTCCGCTTCTCCAACATGCTCAAGGCCCACAAGGAGAAATGTTTCCGCGTCAGCAACCCCTTGGCCTCGGACACGGCTGCCCCCCAACCCGCCACCAGCCCCGCTCCGCTGCCCCCCGGCCCCGGCGTGTCCCCCCTGCCCCTGCCGCTGCTCCATCCTCTTCCACAGACCCTCCCTCCTCCTCCTCACCTACCGCCGCCCCCTCCCCTGTTTCCCGCGGGGAGGATAAATTCCAACAACAATTAGGTGCCCCCCACCCCAGCCATGCGCCTGCACGGACTGCTCTGCCCTTCGGGAACGCCTCCCCCCCGGGGAGACGAGGCTTTGCTTGCTCTCTACCCCCCCCTCCTCCTCGTTTCGGGGTTGTTTTGGGTTTTTATTCCTTTTTCTCACCCGTCATCCTCTACAGAAAGGGGGAGCAGGAAGAGGCCCCTCCAGAGGAGCGTCGGTGTTGGGGGGGAACCACCGTCCGTCCGTAAGGGTGTAGGTAAAAGCTGTCAGTCTCTGCTTCATCTCCAGCTCCATCTTTGTCCTGGGATGGTGGCGGGGCTGGGAGGAGCAGGATGCCCTTATATCTGGCGTTGAGAGAAAGAATTCCTGCCGGTGCATCGATATTTCTAAGCTGAAATCCAGTTAGTGGTGCTTGAATCCCTGTACTGTAAAGCTGGTCTTTCAAATCAGGCTCTTCTCCCACCAGGCTGAGAGGTGGGCACCATGGAGGAGCCCGGATGTCCCCATTGGAAAGCCATCAGCATGCTCTCCTTAACAGCCCTCACCACATCTTCCTTCCCTGTGCCAGGTTTTCCTCCTCTGTAGGCAAAAGCACAAACACCCACGTTGCATCTCGGGGCATCTGCAGCTCGCTGCCAGTTCAGTTTTGGGTGCCCTAAGTGTGTTGGGCTCCAGTGTGCCCTTTCTGCTAATCCCAGAGGGAGCTGGGCTCCTGGGGATGCTCTGGAGTTGGCGAGCTGTCCCTGGGAGAGCTCAGATGGCTTCAGGACCGGCGGGAGGGTGGCCTGGGACAGAGGAGCAGGACGCTGCCATTCCTTGGCAGAATCGGCCCAGAATAGTGCCTTAAAAATTCGAATAACCCCTGAGTGGTGGGTGAGCTCCAGGTTGGGTCCCGTTGCAAGGTCTGGAGCTAAAGCAAGACCTCCTTCAGCCTGGTGACAATGTCCCATCCTCCAGCTTGTTGCCTACATTGCTCTCCTAAGATTGGCCTCTCCTTGTGGGTTTGGTATCTGTTGCCCTGCCCTGGTTTGGGGGGACCAGAGGGGACCAGTGAGGGCTGTGGTTGTTTTGGTGATGCCCTGAAGTGTTGGTTAGTTGAAGTTGCTGAAGTTGAGCTGGTCTTTGGTTTCACTTAGGAATAATATGCCTGGCTTCATGGCAGAGAAGAGGAAGGCTTTGCTGTCACCTTTTTGTTGTACACTGGGGTCCCAGCTGGGTTTCTCACTGTTTTGCTCTGCTCCAGGGTGTCACATATCGGCCTGACCACAGTTGTATGGTCTCCTTGCCTGGGGAAGTGCCCCCTTTGGGGCCAGAGAGCACCCAGCACAGGCAGAGAGGTGGGGTGTGTTGCAGCTGACTCCTTGCTCCCAAGGCCAGAACTGGGGTCAAATACGGACACAGATCAGGTCATGGAGGAGGTGGTGAGCAGAGCTCTTGGTAAGCAAGAAGGAAGAGAGGTCCCTGAGTGGGCTGTAGGAGCCCTGTCTAATTTGCACCTTGCTCTGAGTGAGAGCAGAGCACTGGGGATAACGAGCCACACCAGGCTCTTTGAAAGGTCTTGGTGCTTCACCTCCTGGACCAAATCAGCAAAGCACTTGGGCAGCGTTGAGGCTGCCCCTGCAGAGATGGGAGGAGTCAGCCCCCTGCTCAGGGGCTCTGCAGACCAGGGACATCCAGGAGCCTGACAGGGACAGGACAGGGGAGCTTCTGCTGTTGTGCTGAGTGCTCTTTGAGGTGATGGTCAGCCGAGTGCTGTGCCCTCCTGCTGAGTGATGCCCACATGCCTGGCATCTCGGGGAAGCTGGCTGCTCTTGTGGATGTTGGCATTTTGGAGCAACAGATTGCTTTTGATCCCCATGCTGGCTGGGATCCCGTGGATCCCCCAGCACCTCACTCGGTACCAGTGAGCTCACCCCCATCTCCATCTGCTTCGAGCAAAAGGAGGTTGCTATGGCAGAGCTGCTTCTCCATATCGACCTTCTCAGTGGGTTCCAGAGGCTTCCCTGCCATCCTCCATAACCCTGGGGCTCCTTGGAGTCGTGCAAAGCCTTCCCAAACACAGACCCATGAGGGATGGGGGCACTTTGCTCTTGGGGCCATTGGCTTTCTGAAGGGACCATGATCCAGACTGGGAGATGATTGTTTTAGAGAAGCATTCAGTGATACCTGTGCAGGTGTTGGAGTGGTCCATGCTGTCTCCTCCTCTACTGCCTCCCAGATCCCCCTTAGGTTTCCCTGTGCCTCTTTTCCTTCATGCTCAGCCTCGAGATAGGATGGGAGCACTGTGCCCTGAGGGCTTGGATGGTCTGCCTGGCTGATAGACTTCTCCCCCCCAAGTAAACACCCACGCCAACATCTGCTCCCTTGTACCACTCACCTGGAGGTGGCTTTCCCTGTTCCTGCCCCAGTTCATCCTCTCCCAGTGAGGACCTGCCCCCCTTGGACATCTCTGTGAGACGAGAGCACTTCACTGAGGGTGGAAGCCCAGCGGAGAGCCCAGTGACTGATCCCAGCCGCGCCCCATCCCCTTCGAGAGCCACTTGGAGACGTCGAGATGTGACCATGCACACAGCACTTTGGAGAACCAGATCCCTGCTGCTCCCTCCCCTCTCCAAGGCCCGGGCAGTTCCCAGGAGTCCTACAAGGCCTCTGAGCCCTTTTGTCTACACCCTTACTCAGCCCCAGTGTGTCTCCATGTCTGGTTTTCATTAGAGTACTAAGAGCTCAGACGAGTCGCTCCCGCAGTGTCTCGTCCATCCCGGATCCATCCCAGATCCATCCCGGCCGGCCCTGTTGCACCAGCTGGGCTTGGATGGGGCAGGAGGCAGAGGAGTCGGGTCCGTCGCTTTCAAGCTTTTTACGTTTTACTTTAATTTTTTTTTTTTAATTCTTTTTTTATTTTTACTTTAATTTTTAACTCTTGCACCTTAATCTCTCACACCCCTTCTCCGGCAAGACCGCGAGGGCGGAGAGGGGCTTGTTTTCCACGGCGCAGTTCACGGACACGCCGCAAACGCAACGTCCAGCCGGCGACTCCTCCCACGCACCCACGCCCCACACCTGTCTGGGTTGGGATTTGTTTTTCCTTTTGTTCCCCCCTCACCCCTTCGTTTGAACTTTTGGGGAGGGAGGGAGTCGTGTGGGGAGGGTCCTTTTTTTTTGTTTTGTTTTTGGTTTTATGCATCCCAGGAGCCTGGTAGCACAGACCAGTTGGCCTCACACCCCCGTGAGGCGCGGCTGGCCCTACGGACCACAGCCATAACCCCGGCGCGGTGGGACGGACGGACGGACGGACAGACGGGTGGGAATGGCTGTGACAGTGCAATAGAGATGAGCATCCGCTGCTAGACAACTCCACTGAGTGAACTCTTGGTTTGCCCGAAGCTGGGAGGGAGGGAAGGACGGACAGACAGACGCCCCTTGTTCGCACGGACGGCGAGAGCTTCCCCACACGCAGCCCTGCCCGGTGACACGGAACCACGACGGGAGTTGGGTCGGACTTGCAAAGGAAGAAAATAATAGTTAAAAAAAAAAAAAGAAGAAAAAAAAAAAGCTAAAAAATAGGAATGAGAACAACCTCAGTAGCATGGAACTTGAAGGAAACGAATGAAACCCCAAGCACTTGCCTCAAAACTAGTTTCTCATGCCTGGTGTTTGGCTCTGTATTATTTTCCGGCATTCAGTATCGGTTGCCCAAACATGCCAAGTTAAAGAGTGTATTGGTGGCTCTGCTAGTGTGAACAAACTAAATGAAGCACTTTATTCTGTATAGATAAGGGAAGGCGGGGAGGGGATGGGAAGCTTGGATGCTTTTCGAAAGCGTCTTAAGTAATGTTCTAGGAAATGTATTATTATTATTATTATTATTATTCTTTTTTTTTTTTTTTAATGACCATGTGTAATCAATATATGTTTATCTTTAACTCCAAGTACAGCAATTACTCTCTTTGGGATGGTGTGAGGAGGGGGAGGCTGAGGTGGTCGGATCAGTCCATCGGCGCGGGGCCAGCTGAGGCGAGGCGTTGTCTACCGCAGGAACGGGCGAGTCTTGCTTCGTTGAGGGCCCCGCTGGCCAGTGTCCAGGAGGTCCCAAGAGGTTCATCAAAGCCACCTTCCAGGGCACGGCTCACAGCCAGCCCTCCCCATCCCGAGCCATCTTCTGCCTGGGGGTGCCGGGGCTGCTCTCTGGGCCGCCCACGAGCGCAGCGAGTCACGGTAGGGTGGGCTGGTCTGGGCTGTCCCTTGAGGCCACATCCTTGGCCACGCTTTGAAACCTGCTTCTGGCCTCTCACCGAGGCACATCTCAGGGCTTACTGAGCTCTGAAACTGGTGAGAGGTCAGAACTGGGCCTTTCCACTGCTTTCTCCCAGTCTGGAAGTGTTATGACTGTTACCAAAGAGGTTGCAAGTGGAAGGATTGAATCAATAAACGATTTGTCTTTTATAAAACAAAACCTAAAGATCCACCACTCTCTTTGTTACCTTAATTTTGCTTTGCCGCCTTCTATTTTTTTTTTTTTGTTGTTGTTGTTGTTCTTTTGAAAGCCTTTTTTTCAGGCAATTGTGTGTGGAGTTGGAGACAGGCAGGATGGGCTTCCTATGGAATGTTGACCACTGCCACTGCTTCATATGTGTAGACTGTGTGTTGGGCTTGGTGGGAGGTGTGTGTGAGACAACTAGACTGTTGCGGGGCCAAGAAAAAAATAGCTTTTCAGGGAAGGGTGGTGAGGGGGTAGTGGAAGGGATTCAGGGATTACATCCCCTAAAGGTGTTATAGGGCTGAGGGCTGAGCTCCTGGGTCCTACTTGGCTCCATGAGGTTTGTGTGAACTGTGAGCTGGGGCTCTCTGAGCTCCTCTATTGGCAGTGGAGAAACCAAGGAACCCATCCAAAAGCATCTAGTGCCTTTATTAGTTTAAATTGGAGAGGTGGGGACCTCACCAGCAACACCAGCATTGATATTGGGAAACTAATGGGAGAAGAGATGATTTTCCCTCACCCTTTGGATGTACCTACTCCTTTGCTGCTGAAGATACCCATGGGGGACCTGTACCACTGGAGCTGTTGCATCTGAGCCTGGAAAACACCAGATAGCAGCAAGGACTGACACCTGTCTGAGCATTCCTGGTGGCATTTCTTATCTGTGATTGCCTTTGCACTGATGCAGCTTGTTGGAGAGGTGGAAGGAACATCTCCAGGCCAGATTTTGTTTGGTGATGTCCAACTTTCCCTCCTTCCTTGGGCCAACACTGGCTTGCACCCGCTGAGATTTGACCCTGGTTGCTCAAGCAATGGGATATTTCAAACTCTTCTGGGTCCTTTCATACAACAGTTACTTTGCCTTTTATGGTTTCCTGCCCTGTGCCAGTGGTGGCATCTCCACAGCTTTATAGTGGATGTGAACCACACGAGAGCACCAAGCTCCCACTGCCTGTGTTCCTGATGGAGGGGTGTGAGGTGAGCAACCAAGGATGGGGACCTGTTTTATTTGCAACTTCTCAAGCCTTTTATAAAGGACCACAGCACAACAACTCATGGAAGCTCAACATTCTCCCATTGGCTTCAGAGGGCCCAGATTTCCCCCAGGAGACCCAAGAAACGTCGGCAGCAGGTGAATGGGGATTAACTCTCTCTTAGGATCCAGGGTCAACAGCTTCCCAGTCTGCATCCAGCAAGGAGAGCTGAAGCAAAGGTCATGGAATCATTAAGGTTGGAAAAGACCTCCAAGGTCATGGAGTCCAACCTTTGACCAATCCCCACCTTGTCAGCCAAACCAGAGCACAGAGTGCCACGTCCACTCATTCCTTGAACAATGCCAGGGATGGTGTGGGTGTCCAGTCCCAAGCAGGATGCACCTGCCACCGCAATAAATGACCTTAAAAATTGTTATTTTATGCAGGGATTATTTTTTTTAAATTCTTCTTAATTTTTCTTTTCTGCCACAAGCTATTTGGAAGATTGATCTTTAATTAGCTTGGGAGTTGTCCACAGGAATTTCTGCAGAGCAGGGCAGAAGGTGTTTAATTTTTTTTTGCAATGCATTTTTCACACATTTGATTGTTTCAAGGGGTTTTATTCCTTTTTTTTTTTTTCTTTAAAGCTATTTTGTGACAACCAGTCACCTTGGATTTCTTTTTCTTGTGAAAAGACTTCATTACTGTTCTGATGTGATTGTCCTCTAAGGAGCTTATCCTGTAACTTTTTTAAATCCTTAAAATGAAACCAGGACAAGGCTCTCTCTGGTCGCTTTACTTCTCTTTCCTTCCAAACATGTTTTAGTTTCTCCATGTCCACGTTTTGAGCCAGATGAATGAGCCAGGTATGATTTGTAACACTAGAATTTTCATACCACTTTGAGGGAATTACTTTGAAAGGTTTGTATTTGTTCTTTTTTTTTTTTAATTTATTTTTATTATTGATTATCACCCCTGTTCTTGGTATCATGAGATCATGGTATCATGAGATCATAGTATCATGGAATCATTAGGGTTGGAAAAGACCTTTAAGATCATCTTCGTCAACCCAACACCACCACCATGTTCACCATTAATCCATGTCCTGAAGTGCCATATCCAAGTATTTTTTTAACACTTCCAGGGATGGTGACTCCATCACTTCCCTGGACAGCGTGTTTCAATGCTTTACAACCCTTTCTGTGAATTTTTTTCCCCTGATATCCAATTTAAACCTGGCACAACTTGAGGCTGTTTCCTCTCAGTCTGTCCCTGTAGATATCCAACTGCCTTCTAGTCCTAGGTGAGCTACTAGTCCTTGTATCCATAAAAAAGATCTTTAAGGATACAAAGCTAAAGCTTCAGCTTTCAAATGGGGGAAAATAAGCACAATAAGAGATGGGGCTGGGTGTGTTCATCACAACTTTTGTTTGGTCTTTGGTTGCTGTGAACCTTCAGTTTCAGCTCTCCCAACATACAAACACAGGGGACTTCTTTTGAAATAGTCACATTTATTTTCAAATGAACCACTGATCAGGTGGAGTGGGCATCAGGAGATCTTTGCTCTAGCACATCTTTGTCCTGCTGCCAGTACAGTATTCTATCAAAACATCTTTGTGGATAACTTTAAGATAAATATGCATTTTTCACTTGTAGGAAGCTCTCTTTGAGCCAAACACATCTGCAAAGTGAAATACTCTTTAAAAATAATAAAAAAAAAAAGGTTTGACCATTAAAAAGAAGAGAGAAACAGCAAAAATATAAAACCTTTCCCTAAAAAACCAGCACTTGTCCATCCACAGGCGAGGACATTGTGATCTGGGATTGAAGATGAGGAAGGCAAAAGGCTGGAGATGAGCACACAGGGCCTCCCCTGCCCATCTCTCCCCCTCTTCCACCCTACTACTTGCACGACTCCTCCCCTCCTGCAGACTCAGCTCCCGGCCTCTCTTCACTCCAAAGTCAAAGTGGAGGCAAGGAACTAAGATTACTTGACTGTTTTCTTCTCATTGCAGCTTTCAGAGCATTTCTGCTGCTCACATGCTCGTTCCTTTTAACTGTCTCATCCCAACAACCCTCATCACTCAGGGACTCATCAAATTCCACCCGGGTCTCTCCTGTACCACTTGACTTTGACCCTTCCTTCTCCTCTCCAAGGGGGTCTCTAGCACCGTGCTCACATCTTAGGTGGGGAAATATTTTATAGGCCCTTTTCCCTGGGGAATGTTAACTGAGTCCATTGGGACCTGCTTGCTGCCTGGTAAGGGAGGTGTAACAGCAATTGAAAAGATGGGGAAAAACATGAAGAAGGAATTGAAACTTCCATTTGTCCTGTCTACGGAGACAGGAATAACTCATTGCTCTGTTTTTCTCAGCCTCTCCCAGCTCCTTCCAGGCTCCAGATCCCTCCTCTAATTACCTTGAGAGCATCTTCAAATTCCCACAGAGCTTCAGGATCGTTTCCCCCTTTCCCATCTAAGTAAAAAAGTCCCAATCACAGATGCAATGTCCTACACAGCATCCAGACGCCACATCCCTGATAAACATCACCTCTCTCCCCCCCATCCCTCCTTGCCCCAGACTCCCCCCATGGAAAAATGACAAATCCCTACATCTTTGTTAGACGCAAGACGTTGAGGCGCACGGGGAGGAATGTGGCACCGGAGGCGTACTGGATCTCCCGGAGAACCCCTTCCCACTTCTTCTGCTCCTCATCATACCTGGGGAGAGACAGAGTTACAGTGAGGAAAGTGTCTCCTCTCCCTCCTTTCAGCTGCTCTCCACAGTGGCGGGAGCCCCGGTGCAGGGTGTGACACCCCACAGGCATTATTTGGCCACAGGAATCTTGTGGGGGCTGCGTGGGGACTTTCAGCCCTGGTTTGTATGTGCCAGGCTGGGAATGTGGATGTCAGCACCTGGTCTCACAGGGAAGAGGGTATTTTTTTCATTTGGAAATGTTTTGATGGCACCAAGACGGAACATCCACTGTGAAGGACAGCAGGTTCCTGCTGAGGGTGCTGCAGCACCGATGTGAGGGACAGGAGCAGCTAATGCTGTGTGAGCAGCTGTCACAGAATGCTTCCTGCCCTCTCCTCTGCTCACATGTAACACTATCTGCTTCCCAGCCAGGACTATCTGCTCCCCAGCCCCAGCACTGGCTGTTCCCAGGGAGAGGATGCATCGCACAGGTGCTGCTCCACACCAAAGGGGAGGCTGGAACCACCTCCAGGCAAAATGTCGACTCAGCAACAAAGCCAAAGGAAGTTTTCCCTGGTATGTTGCTGTTTGAGGCTGGGAGAGATCACTGAGCTCCCCAGTGTGCCCTCCAGCACAGCACAGGGCAAACTCCCCACCGTGCGCTGAGCCTGCAGCCTTGTGCTGGGGTTGCAATCTCCATCTCATATTGACTGCACCCAGAAAGACAGAAACCATCTGTTCCATCACTAACATCCCTCCCATGCTGCCTTGGACAGCCCTG